AAAAGCAGCAACTGGAAACTAAGCTGGATTCACTAAAGGATGAAGTGGTAAGCCTTTAACCGCTGTGCTGCGTGCAGGTTTGGGACTGGTCAGAGGTGAGGAAGGGTTCATCTGACCCTCCTCACCAGCTCTCTGGTCTCACCTCCTGCTCTGCAGTCAGCAGTTCGGGCTAATATTGCCTTGTGGCACAGGCTGAATGGCTGCTCCAGGCCTTGTAGAAAGGGCCTTCTCCGCTAATTTCTTACTTAGTGGCTTTCTAACACAGAAGCAAACTCATTTCTAATTAGAAAATGCCTTGCAGCAGGTCAGAATTATTCTTTTGTTACATGGTAACAGCTGAATGAATTAACGTGTTTCCTTTGCTCTGTGTTAGGGAATGAGGCAGCCATCTGTGACAGTCTGTTAGTGGTCCCTCACTCTTGACTAAGTTCTGAGTGGAGCAGTCACCATACTGTTCTACCTCTTGGAAAGTTTCATTTTCCCGCTTGAAATAAATTTTTACCATTCATTCTCCCATGTTTTACATTAGTTCTTTTTTCTTCTCCTTACAGGGAGTAGAATTTCAGGGCACCCGAAGTAGTGACATCAAGGAGAGAGCCAGGCTTGAGTCACGGCTCAAGCAGATGGCTGATGATGCGGACCTCCTAAGAGAAGAAATCTATCTTATAAGGAGAAAAGATGAGTGCTTATGTGAAGAATTTGCTCTCCTCAGCAGAAAAGATGAGTGCCACTTTCTGCAGCCTTCATCACTACGGGGGTCTGAGACACCAACTGAATCATTGCTCGTTCTTACACCAGGAACGGTAACTAACAGTTCCACTGTCCCTTAAGAACAGCCCCGGGTAACTGGCAGTGGTAGTACCTGGAAGTGTGATTTTTCACACTTTCACAATTGCTTTGGCTATGCAGGGGTTTAGCTGTAAAGGGTTATATTTGTTTCCCTTATCAAAATATGATTGTAGTGAAAGATATGGAATAAAAGAGTGCAAATACAGCCAGTACGTGCTGTTATCAGCCCACTGCAGCGTGTGTGCTTATGTGTGTGTTTGTTCTTCAAACGAGTGGCTGCTGAAGGCTGGATGTGAGAGTTCCACGTGGGCACATCTAGCCCATTACTCAAAAATACTGAAAGAGGTCTGCCTTCAGGGTGGGGTTTGGGTTTTTTTTGGAACATCCTAGCAGCCATGGCAGCTCTCTGCTAACTGAGCTAGTTAGAGCCATTGTTAAAAAGAGAAGGGAAGTGTTATTTGTTTGGAGAAAGCATCCTTTCTCCTCAGGGCCTGCAGTGCTCAGATGGGTCTGGAGCCAATCGGAGACTTTCCCACCTGTCTCTTGCCCTGTAGAAGTGGGGAAAACAGCACTGCAGGACATGGTATGGACCTGGCATGAGGAGGGTATAGCAAATGCAAAGTCAGCCTGCAATTCCAGTGCCTGAGCCCAGTGAGAGAGCATCAGGCTCTGTATGGTTTCAGGTTTTATGCTTTTTTGCCTCTGGCATTTGCTATGGTGCAGTGTGTGATCATTTACCCCATCTTACTGTGAAAACTTCCTTCAGCCCCAAAGCAGAGAGGTTGTGTTGCCCTGTTCTTCCAGTGCAGAGTCTCTGTGGGTGCATGGGCAGGCTTGGAGTTTGTTGCTGGTTTTTAATTAAATAGATGGAACAACCTGCAGTGATCTTCCTCCCCACCCCTGCCTTCTGCTACTGGAATCTGCCACAAGCAGATCCCAGCCAGGCAGGAGACCTGCCCCTGCTGGCCCCAGCACAACGGGATGACTGGCACTTGTGCTGCCTGCCTTCTCACCGGGTCCCTATGAAGGAGCTGAGCATCATCTATTTCCTTGAGGGAAAAAAACCTCACCCCTATCCACAAGCCTGGATGCTGAAAGGTTTTGAAGCTGGAAATCCACAGGATAGGAGGGGTGTGGGATAAGGAAACAAAATTTGCAGAGATTTGAGTGTCCATCTGCCTCCCACCCATCACCAAACTCCTACAGCTGTCCTTGGAGATAAATGGAAATGTCCTCCAGCTGTGCTCCTCACTAGAAGATTTGTATCACTCAACTGGCACAGGTAGCAGCTGTTGCTCTTCTCCCAAGGTCAGCACTGAGAAGATTCATGTGGGCAGCTATTTGGAAAACTGTAACTGGAGGACAATGTCACCTTTCCCCAGGTGTCCTGCTTGCTGTGTGTCTGCAAGGAGAAAAGAGTGGAGTTGTTCTGTGGGAGGGTTTAGCATACAGCCAGCCACAGAAAAGACTAAAGCCTTTATTTGAGATGTTAAAGCGTGGGTTTGTCTTTACAGATATGCGGCTGCAGATGGCGTGTATGTGAAGGGTTGTTTAAGTGGGTCAGGCAGAGTAGGTAACTCCAGTCCACTCACAGGAGTGTGTTCCTGGGCTGTGCCTTCCTGTGGGGAGAGGGAAAGACCTTTTTGACAGCGTTATCTTTCGTGAAGCCCTCACTGCAAGAGGGAGCTAGATGGTGCTGGTGGCAGCTCTGTTTGGACCCACGTCCTGCGACGTCTCTTGTGCTGCTGTTTCAGTCTTGTGCTCTGAGGAACAGCCCGGTGCCACAGATACCTGCTGCCTTGTTTCCTGGGCCCTCCTATGACCTCGCTGAAGATGCCTTCTGTCTCCATAGCATTATAAAAGGCACATATACATCTATATACAAGTGCATAAATATATAAATAGGGGTGTTATACAAAAATAAATACTCATTCTCTTTTTCTCTTTAGAATAAGTCTTTTGCAGAAGGCAGCTTGGTCCCTAGCTGGTGGGAGAATGAGTCTCTGAGGGCCTCAGTGCTGGCAGGCTGCTGTTCAGGTGTCTTGGTAGGTCCTGACCCAAAGATGTGATCACTGGATTCGGGGGATGGAGATCTCCTCTGGACTGGCAGCAGTCTAGTCTTTCTACCTCTTCAACTGGCACTAGGCCTAGGCAGCAAGGGCTTCCTGAAAGGGAGAGGAGGGAGAAATGATTACATTGCATATGGAAATGAGAGACACTGTGGTAGCTTTCTGGTCAGCAGTCCACTCTGTGAGGATGAAAGAGCTGCGTTCTGAAAGGCCTGGCTGCCTGGGAGTCGGATCCTGTGTTTGCACACGTCAAATTTGATCCACACTACAGGTGGATCACACACACACTTACAGGTGTGTGTGATCCACACACTACAGGTGTGGATCAATCCATCAGGGAGATGGATTCCCATAATTTTTCAGAGATCTTGCTGTTTTGCTGGTAGTCTGCAAAATGCAAAATTAAGAAGGACTAAAGGACAGTATCTCTGCTGCTGGAGGTGGGTATCAGCTGTTCTGGCAGCATACAGCTCAAGCTTCTGGAGAAATGAGAAATGTGTCCTCTAGAACAGAGTGAGGCAATTTACAGTCCCCAACTGCTAGTGTGACCTTTCCATGCTGTTGTTCTATGCAGTGTTAAAACTGTCCTTGCACTGCAGAAGCAGGCGTGAACAGAGCCATCAGAAAGGCTCCACAGTGAGATTTCCCTTCAAGATCAGCCTACAACGATGAGAAGAAGCAAGCACAGAGTTTTCCAGACCACTGACCTTGGTGGAACAGGGGATCCCGTCGAGCATCCAGACTAGGGCCTCCCACTTTGCTGCCCATCACTGGATGATGGAGGCCAACAAAGTGCTCCTGAAGATGAGGACAGTCATCTTGTGGCTGGAGAAGCTGGTGAGTGGAGTCATCTGGGAGACTGTAGAGAAAAGAGCTGTCTTCTGTTCTTGAGTTGGGCAGTCTGGGGAGGCAGACAGAGAGGTTTAGCACGATTCACAGATCGTTCCTTTTTGAAAGATACAACCTGTGTAACATCTCAGCCAGCTGCATCAAGGCAATGACACAAAGCATTTCTAAATGAGGGGAAGAGCAGAAATTGGGATGTACTTGTGGGATGGCTGAGGTGATGGGACATGGTCTCCATGATTCAAAAAAATCTAGTGAGTGCCACAGGAGCTGGGAGGAGTCGTGCCTCCCGGGAAGCATGGGAATAATGACTTGAAGTCTGAACAGTGAGACACAAAGCACCTGCAACTGGACCCTGGCCAGATTCTGGGGCAGCTGTTTATCAGCATCCAGTCACAGATGTTACCTTCTCTCATCCCCCTGGGGGAAGAAAAGGGGTCAGGGGGAAATGGACCTTGGCCATCTCTACAATTAAATTATCACTCCCTCAAAGTGTAAGAGGAGGGAGCTGTAGGAAGAGAATTTAGTCCAAGACAACCTAGTGCTGGAGCATGGATTTGCTTCCCAAGTGACTTGGGACAGACGGGAGCGTGCTGAGCGTGAGCTTTTGTGAGCAGGTACTCTTGTGGGCCCCACTGGACCTGTTCCACCCTCCCCCTCCATAAGCCAGGACTAACCTGGAGGGCTGGTAGTCTTGCTGGGCATTCCCGTTCTGCAGCACCCGCGCCTGCAGCAAGGCATTGGTCTCTTCGTGTGACTGGAAGAAGAGAGAAGGATTCTCAGCAGAGCAAGGCCACACAGCAGCATTAAGAGGCAGGTGCTGATCCGGGAGGCAGGGCCAGAGCCGTGGGCCAGACTGGTGAAGCTCTTATGACAGAAGGCAGAGAAAGCTGAAACTCTGGCTACAAAGGACAGAGTAGAACTGAGCACTGAGAAACTCACTTCACACTCACTGCTGAATCACTGGGGGACGGTAACCAATTTATACTCCCAATTTATAGCCCTGGCCTGTGTTACTATTTACACACAGTCTCCTCAACATTGTCAGTCCCTGTGAGCTTTGCTCAGTAGAAAGAGGAACCATTCCTGTAAGAGTAGCCTTTGCTCACTGCCTCCTCCATACTTGGAGCCACTGCCCCAAGAAACTGCCTCTTCACCAGTGTTTTGGAGACCTTCCTGTTCCTCCCATGTCTCAGACTCCACTGCAAAGGGGAAATCTCTTAAGGAGGAGTCAGTCTTGCCACTCCTAAGTGCGGCAAAGGGTTCCAGCCATGTCTGGAGAAGCCGTCTCACTGCAACCACGACCTCCAGCTCATGTCAAACCAACTGTTAATCACAGGTGTGGACATACCTGTGGCACTTCATCTGGACTGTAATCTCGGGGCTTGGTGCTTGCATAGCCCACTCCTGCAGAGGGGCAGATGCCGTTCAGATGTGCCCCATTGGCGTAGGGCTGCCCATTAACGTAGGGATGTCCATTGGCACGAGGAGCAGAGATGCCCCTCAGAGGCACCATGGTGTACTGGCAGGATGACACCAGCAGCCCAGCTCCTGGGAAGCCCATGTCAATGGTTTGCTCTGCAGATGGAAGAAAAAAGGAAGTCTGAGGCCAAAAGCAAAGGCAAAGCTGAGCTTCTTTAAGTGAGCTTCAAGCAGGCGTAGTGTTAGGCCTGCCAAATAGGCAGCTATTTTGGCACCTAAAGCACCCTTGGGAACAAATGGTGGGAAGGGGCCCTTCACGAAGGCAAAGGGAGTGCCACTTTCTAGTTCTAGTCCCAGGGTTCCTTCTCAACAAGGTAAGCAGGACAAGGGACAAATGGTGGCCTTTATGTATACAGGGTTCCACAGGACATTTAGGACTTGCCCTCTGCCCACCCTCTCCCTGCTTCCCAGAATTCACAGCCCTCACATTTTGGGTGTTTGGCCCACCTACACCCAGGGTCAGATCTAACCCGCAGGGCAGAGCACATCTTGTAAATCAGCCCTCAAGAAAGAACACTTACTCTGCTTGGACCAGGCTCTCCAAAGGCAAAAGGGGATGAAGGCCACGATGAGGAGTACAATAGAGCCCAGCACAACGCCTACAATCAAGTACGGCAAGTCACTGGAACGGGCCACCATGGCTCCTGTGCCCAGGCCGCCGTGCCCACCACTGAGTGGGGGACGCTGCTGAGGGGCCACTGTTGAGGGCGGAAGACGACCTGGCAGACCAAGGGCCTTCCGAGCTGTGAAGGGAAGAGAGAGAGTGAGCGTTAGACACAGAGACGGCAGGTGGAAGAGCAGCCTGCTCCAAGGATGTCTACGCTACTGTGGCATGGACAGACTTCCATGGTGGCTTTAAAGAAGTGCTCCTGGATGAGGAGGATTTCCTAGGCTGATGCATACTGCAGTACAGACAAGTCCTCTGTGCTTTTGCTAAAGCACAAAGGAAAATAGCTTCTCCAAAACACCCCCTTGGACCTAATGCTGTTCCTATCATGACAGTGCAGCTGCTTGGAAGTCAACATGGGACTTGCTTATAACCACACGTGGGAGATGGGAACAGCAAGGGCAAGGTAGCCCTTCTGGTTCCAGTCACCAGCTATGTGATCCTTTGGAGAACAAAAGGTAACTATTACTCCGAGGGAAACAGTGATGGGCTCTGTACAAGGGCTCTGCGAGTACTCGTACGGGTACGTACAAATACTGAGCAAGGGCATCAACAAAGCTACACCTCTTCTCCCCAGCGCTGCCTCCAGCTCCTTGCCCGAGCCTGCGCCACGCACTGTCGGGCAGGGCTGGTGCCTGCCTCGCTGTGCTCTGACAGCCGCCTGCGCTCCCAGAGGGGCCCTACAAAGCGGGTTACCTTTGGTTTCACAGATCATCACGTTGCTGAACTCGCTTTCACCACCCTCGTTGAAGCATTGCATCTTAATGTCATACGAGGTCTCTGGCTGCAGGTGGCTGATGGAGTGCCAGTACCGATCTCCTGAGGAGGGAACACACACACGGTGCCGTCAGCTCCCTCGAGGAACACGCAGCTGGCCCAGCTCTGCAGCAGCACCAGGCAAAGCAGGCCTGGACAGCAGCAGCAGCAGCTGCCTTTTGTGCCCAGGCTTCCTCCTGGCCAAGGACTCTTCCAGGAGGAACCTGCAGCTGGGACATTGAGTCTCCCAATATCTCCTACCTTCCACCACGTCCTTCTTGTAGTCGCTGTCATTGTCGCTGTCCGTGGGGCGGTAGTAAATGTAAAAGCCATGGATGGGAGTGTTGTTGTTGCTGGCTGGGATATACTGCAGAGAATGGGAGGGAGAGCAGAAATTAGCAGAGATTTCTGGGCTTCATATTGTACTAGGTGAGGAGCAGTGGGGATAAATGGGATGGGACAGGAGGAAGACCCAGCAGGGGGGATCTTCCTTGTGTTGCCACTGGTTTGCACAGTAAGAGTTCCTTCCAAAAGCTCAGTGCTTCTCTCAGCATCTCTCAGACAAGCCATGAATCTGGTCCTGTCAGTTGAAGCACCCTGTACTGTGCTCCCTCCCAGCAGGACTCTGACTTCCCCCACTTCTATGTGACCCAAGCCCAGCCCTCCTTTGCTGGAGAGACCTGCTGGATCCCAGATCCATTTGTGCTGGTGATAAGCTCCAGCGTGGTAACCTGGAAGACTGTATGTAAGCTGGGCAAGTAGCACCCACACAACACACCTGCTTCCTCCACATTCAGAGATCTCCACCCCTACAAACCTTACCATCCACTTCAGCATGATGGTGGTCTCGTTGATGGCATCTGTGAAGGTGATGTACGGCCCGGCCACAGGGCGCTCATAGACTCGGTTGTTGTACCCAGACACCACATATGGCCGAGACGCCGCACTGGGCTCGCTCTCTCCCAGGATGTTCAGTGCCCGGACACGGAATTTATAGGATGTGCCTGGGGAAAAAATGGGAAATAAAAGAGCTGCAGATATTGGAGTCTTCCAAGACTTCTACTGTCAGCACAGGCCTGACTTTGGAGAGGGGCCACATCTTCTCCTGAAGGCAGAGAGCCTACACAGAGGTTTTGATCAAAGGGCAAACACTGAAGGGCCAGATTTCAGCCATGTGCTAGATGGAGCCTGCTTTTATCTGCCTTCCCCAGTTCCTGTCTGGATGGTCTAGAGGTCAGTTCTGGAAGGTGTGTGGGTGGATTCAGAGATGCCTGAAAGGATGTCCTGACCCAAAAGCAGGTATGGGAAGGCATCCTTCCTCTACTACATGGAAATTAAGTACATAGATATCAGTTAAAAGCTCAAAGCCTAAATTATTTTTACCCAAACATCATTTTACTGGTCTTTAAGTTGGGGGCAGGTGTGTTGCCTTTTAAGCTGTCCAGCTCAGTGCCTTTTCTCACGTGAAGTGCAATGGGAATTGTGTGCCCATCTGTCTTGCCTGTGGCTAAGGGAAGTTCTGTCCTGTCTAGCAAATGGCAAAAACAAATGCCTTTAGTAACTATATCCTGTCATACAGAAAAGCCTCCCTGAGGGAGTTCAAATCTATGTTGGTCTTTGCAGCTGGAGAAATCGGAGAAGCATCTGCAGCTTTTCCCCATGCATCCCAGGCCGGAGCTGGGGAGGCTTTGTTTAGCTCGCACTTGCTGGGGCTCAGATGACATGACAGATGGCTAACCATCCTACAGGGACTGTACAGCTTTCCTACAGACCTCCAGCAAGCAGAGAGAAGACCTGCCTACCTTTCTCCAGGCCTGGGATTTCCACAGAGAGGCGAGAGGGAGGAATGTCACTGGTGGCCAGGACCCAGTCTCCCAGCTTCTTCAATTTCTTATATTCCACACGGAAAGACTGGATGGGGAACCCGCCGTTCCCTCGGGGGATCCAGGTCACATAGACAGATGTCTCTGATGCCATGGAGATGGTTGGACGGTCTGGTGCCTCTGGAGCTGCAAGAGGCAGAGAAGGACATCAGGATGTGAACCACATTTTCCCCTTGCCCTATCTGGAGGATCCTGTAGCTCAGAGATACATGGGTGAAGGACTACCTGCATTGCACCCACCCACATGCTCTTTAATGCTCTCTTCTTTCTGCCTCTTCCTTAGAGCTGGTTCTCCCAGATCCTCACTCCTTTCAGTTTATGGCCTACAAACTTCTTTTACTCCTGTCTGCATCTTGCTCCTTTTCCACTCCCAACTCGAGTAGGGTGAGACAAGGTTTGGGGAATGCATACCCATCACGGCAGGGTGAGCAGCGAGAGGTGTGGATGTAGGGCTGGAGACAGAGCAAAAGGCCTGGCTGATGTGGAAGCAGTGAGCAGGGCGAGACTGACACTGGGGACAGATGTGTAGGAGAGGAAAGCAGAAGAGACTGAGAAGAACCAGCTGAGGAGGAAATAAGGAAAAGTTCTGAACTGTACAAATGTAATTTCGTAAGAAAACAATCAAAAGATGGAAGGG